GCGGGTGGGGCCCGGGGGTCACCGTCCTCACCCTCGTCCCTGTCTGTGCGTCGCCCTGAGCACGCCGCCTGCCCGGCCGTCACACCCACGCTGACCGCTCTGCGCCGCTCACACCCGTGTCTCCCGCCCGCAGTTCCTTCCGACGTGTTCTTCGTGGGCTCCGTGTGGAAGGGGCACTACGAGTACCTGGGGCAGCGGCAGCCGGCCACGCTGACGGTGGACAGCTTCAACGCCACCCGCAGCCGGGTGAACGCCACCCTCGCCGCAGCCTCGCAGGCGGAGCTGAAGCTGACAGGTAGGCAGCCGGGGGTGACTGACGGATGGACCGCGGGCGTGAGCGTCAGCCCGACCCCTCACAGAGCGGCGCTGGTTCCGTGTGCCATCTCGGGTCAGTCCGGGACCTGCCGGGTAACTTAACGGTCACAAGCCAGTCCCACCGGCGTGGCTCAGAGGTTGAGCATCAACCCATAAACTGGGAAGTCAGGGGTTCCATTCCCGGTCAAGGCACATGGACGGGTTGTGGGCTCCATCCCCAGTGGGGGGCGTGCAGGAGGCAGCTGGTCAATGATTCTCTCTCCTCATGGATGTTTCTATCTCTCTCTCTCCCTTCCTTCCTTTCTCTCTGAAATCAATACAAATGTATTTTTATAAAAGGATCATAAACCAGTACAGAAAAGTTGATGAATTCGCCCAAGATCACGCACATAGCATGTTCAGTGAAGGACGTGAGATTTGTGTTTGTGGTTCCGTTCAGGTCATCTCAGTCGGGGAAATGCCCCTTTCTCTTGGCTGGTGTGGGGTTATGGTTATACCCCTGGCCTCAGCAGTGAGCACAGTGTACATGTTAAAATGCCTGATTTCAGAAAGTAACATAGTTGAAAGCATATGCCTGTTATTCCTCCTGTGGGTCCACATGCTGCTGGAACTCACCAAAGGGCTCTATACACTCAAGACAGACCAGACTTTAATAAGAAGTGATTCTAAGGGGAATAAAAGGGGGGGGGGTGGTAAAGCTAAAATTAAAAAGATAACTGGGCTGGTGTGACTGAGCATGGCCCCAGGACCTCGATTCCCAGCCCATCCATGTTTCTCTTTCCCATCATTGTTTCTCTCTCCTCTCTCCTCCCTTCCTCTCTCTCTGAAATCAGTAACAACTTATTTTAAAATCACAACTTCCCTCCTCTGTGATTTGTCACCACTGAACCGTGTTCCACTCCGGGGTCGCCTGCCTGAACCCCTGGCCCGTGTGCGCCCCTGAGACACGCGCCTCTGTGCTCTCTGCAGGCGTCTACAAGAAGGAGGAGGCCCACTTACTGCTGAGGGCCTTTCAGACCAAAGGGCCCGCCGACGTGTTTGTCAGCAAGTTTGACAGCGACCCCTGGGGCCTGGACGGCTACGTAAGTGGTCCCTGTGGT